TTCACAAAGATAGGATGTTGGAAATGGTAGCAGGGTTTTCAGTGCTCTTGTGGCGATTTCAGAATATTCTGGCTTGATTTTCATCCAGAGCATCGGCAGAGTTGTTGTCTCAAATGTATGTTTAAGGTCACCGTCGTTTGCGATCTCCAGCAGCTGATCCTCTTGTTGCACAGACATGCAGAGCAGCCATGGTGTGTGAGACTCACCTGTTGCGGTAAACCTGTATTTTAAGTATGACTCCTGATATTGTCTGTTAAAAGAAGCTTTCTTTTTCTTGGAGGTCGTGGGCTCCTCTTCTGGCTCCTCAGTTGGCCTTTTCCCCTTTGAAAAGAAGCCCTTCAAAGACGTTTGTTTTTTACTCATTTTTGCTAGTTTGGCCATGGCCCGGTGGTTGGGGACCACTGCTTTACAGCATCCACACAATAAAATCTAAAGAACAGGAGAGCATAGTGTGGATGCTTTACAGCATCCACACAATTAAAGGAGCCTCACAGGCTGGAAATACAACTATTTCTGATGGTTTTGAAAAAGTGTCTAATTTTGTCCAATGTTTGGAGTTCTGTATGGAATGGATCAGCTTTGGCTTTTTTCTGCTTTATGTGTTATTCCAATGCAAACAAAAGAAATCAAAATAAGAACACCAAAGAATATGTGACTGCAACAGTTTTCTGAGAAATGGAGCGGTGCCAATATTTTTGGCCAATGACTATGTTTCTTGGCAGTTTTTCTCATTACATTTCCTGCAGTAGTTTGTTTAATAACAGGAACATGGTCAGTGTGAGGTAGTGATGATCGGAGCCAATCCCAAATAAATACTTTGAATAATTAATAATACAATTATTATTACTATAAAATTATTTTGGCACATCAAGGAATGTGTTTTGTCATGAACTGGTTAGATTTAATATGAAAAAAAATGGAAACAAGTTTGATTTAGCCCCACTAAACCCCCAGTAATGAGTGTAATCGTGAGAGCCCAGCACCTTGTGGTTATGGGAATGACTTGATAGGTGCGGAGCAGCAAGCCTCTGTGTGCGCAGGCAGCATCATGACTTAGCAAAACATTCATGACACCAAAAAGCTGCTCTATGCGCTGGTCCTGGCGGAGGTCCTCCCCACCCTTCACCAGAAACGAGTGGTCCCGCTCATCATCACCGCGGATGATCAGACGTTTGGGACGACGAATGGAGGACATCACCTTTACCTGCAGGATATGAATCCACATCAGCATTCTGTCAGCTCCCAAAGGGATGTCACACTTGCACAGAATGCTGAAAGGCCCTAAACTGTCCTATTTTACAATCAATGAAAATAAAAGCATACCCTTTCATCAAAGCCCGTTATTTTTGCATGATATTCTGGCAGTGGTTTAGATCGGCCACAGTACTGTCCTAAAACAGGAGGAGGAGATTTGAGCACAAACAAAACATGTTAATTTACCGTAATTTCTGGACTATTGAGTGCACCTGAATATAAGCCGCACCCACTAAATTTAAAACGAAAAAACAGTTTGTACATAGCCGCAGGTGTCCACGATGTAACGAGATATTTCAACAGCCAGAAGATCAATCGCCTTTAACTTGAAAGCTGCATGATATGCATTTCGGTGTGTGTTTTCCATGATGAGGGTGTGTGCATGAAGTGAAAAGAGTAGTGGATTATAGTCCGGAAATTACAGTGCAGTATTTCCAAGGTGCATATTACTTTGGTCTCAGAAATGCTTAGATTAGTTTTTAAGATACCTACCTGGGATCTCCAGCTCACTGCTGAATGCATCCGCTTTAAATCCATTCAACCAGAGTGAGTATTCCTTCAGGTTCCCAGGTTCTTTGTTCTTAGACTGAAATTCACGCATGGATGCCACCAGGTCATCCACTTGCTGCACAAATTTTTTGTCTTTCCTCTTCTCAAACAGCTTGCTGCCTTTAGGTCCCAGCAGCCTCTCCACATCTTTGGCAAATTTCTGTTAAATCAAAGAAAAACAGCTGCAAGGAGAACCACAGCCGCTGAATACAAAGTGATATTTGGTTGTTTAGGAGCTGCTTACGCAGCCCTGGTGTATTTGTTATGCGTTTTTCAGAAGCACAGTCTTTAAAGGTCTTTACTACTACAACAAAACTCTGAAACTGAAACTTTTATTCTCATTAAGTAGTATACACTTGGTATACTAGTTAACGAGAATATTAAAATAAGGTTTTAATTAGTTGTATTCTTCTCTTTATCTTTCACTGGTTTATAAAGGTACCTAGCTGAAACTAACTTTCATCATGAATTTAGCTCCTGCACATCAGAACATGAATTAGGCTGCGTATTTCTGTCTGAACCAACCCAAGCCCCGCGCAGTTTCTAGTCTTTTGCCCTTTATCATTAAAGGAAGCAGACATTTGAGTGCTCCAGCCATCTAGCCTAAAGTTTCTCCCATGTGTTCACACCTGACCCAGACCCAAATGTAACTTCTAAGTTTCTGTGGACTATCCACACTACTGCACATTAACCACTCTCCATTCACTGCACTGCAGTGCACCATATGCTGGAACCTAGTTCTATAACAGTAGCTAAAACATTTTAACCCTCAGATAACAAATTCATTTTGGACTTATTCCATTTAGTTGTCCTGGGGCTGCACACTTTGGCAGAACAGTTCAAACAAACTTCAGTCAGAGCATTACAAAATGACATCCTGCTGGTTTACCACTGGAGTTAGGAAAACAATGAAACGTAGTTTTAGAATTGTATGCATTGTCACATTATCTTCTTTGCATGTAAAAACAAACAAAAAAAAAATCAAAGAAAACTACAAACTTGGATAAACTTCTTTCGAAACGGTCCATGACCATCTGTGTTACGATCCCCGAGCAAGCGGTACATGTCATCATACACCTCGGCTATCCGCTTGCCGTCAAGGCTCGGTTTCCCCAGTTCATTTTTCACACTGTCCCACCAATCCTGTTTGGGCCAAAAGAAGAAATCAACAACAGGCCAAAAAGAAGTAGGTGGCAGTTTGATTCATTCACGTTTGAACTCCTTACCTTAAAAATCATGTCAGGATTTGTAAGCTGCTGCAGTGCATCCACAAAGTTCTGCACAGCGCCACCTTTATCCAGCATGCTCCTAAGTCTGTTAATGCACACGACAGTCATAAAAATAAGCAGAATATAAAAAAAGGTTCATCTTTGTTCCCCTAAC